CATTTATTGTTAAATGAAAATAAAGGAAATTTATTACCTGTACGATAGTACGGTAGTTGTCAACACAAACCAGACAAACTGTGAATCCTACAGTATCAAGAATTTACTCATTTATTCAATGACAATCATGTCATCATCTTCTGGAACATCATCATAACAATCCAATTCCTGAATTTCCTGGTGAATTTCTTGTGACTCCATTTCTTTCAGAATCAGTGGACCAAATCTCTCATGTTTAGCCTAGGGGGAACCTTATTTTCGGGGGATGCCTTATATTTCACTCAGAAGGAAACCTATAAGTAGGTCTTATTTTTGGAGGATGTCTTATTTTCGGGGAAACACAGTATATTTAGGGTAAAATCTGGTAAAGTGCAGGACAGGCACTCATTTTTCACTTGAAATTATTTTGAGTGGTAACAAAACTACTGCAAACTAGTATTTATGCAAGTTCTGCTTTGCCTGTGATAGGTATTGTCCATTCATATAGCAGCTTCATAAACTCACAAGGAGTATCTAAGTTGAATGCAAGTGTGTACCTCATTGCTTTGAAATCAATGGCGTTTTAATCCAGTGGGATAATCTAAGTCATCAGAATATGTCTTAGCCTGTCTTTGTTAGCTCTCCTAGGAAGACCTGTGTTTGTCATGGTCCCTTTAAGTATAAGGAGTTTGAGTTTATACATCAAATTGCATTTCAACAAGACTTCTTTATAAACTCAAAACAACATAAATTCAGGGTGTGGCAAAAGTAGGTTTATAGTTGTAAATATGTGAAACATGGAGTTTATTCTTGTATTATTATTTGATTATTGTATTATCTTCTATACATATAACTGTAAACTTACTTTTGACCTACCCTATAAATTTCACTTATAGATTAGATTGAACAATTACTTCAAAATTATAACTTGTATGTGTCATGTATCTATAAAAGAGAAGTGTTTTTTTTTATATAGTGGTAGCTATAAAAGACAAATATTTCTTTAGAAGTATTGATGTTATTAGATTTTATGGCCTAAAGAAAAAAAGTCCTTTCAGTCATGATTTGTTCAAAACTAAGCCTGCATTTTTGCAAAAATTATACTATATATATTCACATCCTAGTAGAAATTCTTACTTTAGCAGTGCTGAGATTTCTCCTGCAATATCATGTGATGTAACAATGTAATTTAAAATGGGATTTTATTTATTCTACAGATTTTTCTACATCCAAATTCCCCATTAGCTTCATAACAATTTCCTTTCAGTAAATAATGTACAAGTGGCCTTTGAAAAAAAGTAGAATAGCCTGGACTCTTTCCCAAGAACTTCCCACTGCATGCATTACTGCTGCCCCTTTTTGGATCATGAGTGTGCATTTTTCATGGCTCTTGACCATGGCCAAAATAACCTGAGCTTGCTTCCCATCCCTAATAATAATTATGTTCTATATAATTATTATGATGATGATCCTTTCTCCTTGGTAGAAAAGTGACTGGACCAACCCAAAAAGGACTAGCCTCTTCCTTCTCTCATTCACATTTCCTTCTGTTGCAGATTGGATTTGAGGACCCTCCCCTCCAGGGACAGGCTGCAGCGTCAGGGAGTGGGAATGGAGCTGATTCTGAGCCAGCTCGCCATATCTTCTCCTTTTCCTGGTTGAACTCCCTGAATGAATGATGTTCATTCCAACTGCTGTCCCTCTGTCTGCCTGGCTGAAATGCACACAAGTAGCAGGGAACCCAGATGAAATTACTATGATGTAAATGATGAAAGGGACCTCAGAACAAGATTTCTGCAACAGAAGAAAAATCTTTAATTCCAGATGATTTATCTAACACATTAAGGGAAAACAGTTGCAGAAAGCATTGGGAAAAAGAAACTTGATATTATGCAAATCTTTCATTGTGTGGGAAACAGTATAAAGAATGTGTCAGTGTGGTATATGTGAGCATGTGTCAGTAACAAGTGGCAAGCGTTGAAAAAAGTGAGCACTACACTCTTGTCTCTAATAGGCACTGGCTTTTGTTTTTATATAATAGCTCTTTTTCTCTTTCCTTGTTAACAATGCAGATGGTCAGTGAAATTCACTATTAATTTAGAAATGACTAATTTATCAATATGTGAACAAAAGGTAAATCATTGACCAAAGGTATGATATGTTTCACAAAGGTTTCCTCTTTTCCATAATATATGTTGCTGGATGTATATCTAGAAATGTTCTTTGACTCTGACACTTTCGTAGTCCAGAAGGCTAAAAGCCTAGGACATTTCTTGTGACATTTTTCTAATCTAGTTTTAGATATGCAGATAACAAGCACTTTAATTGGGAGAAAATACCTTTCTACAAGAACCATCTACTTTCTCATGTATCCAATGAGACACAACTTTATGTATTTAAATATATATGTATGTATACACACACACACATATATATATATACACATATAAACATATATATATACTACATTATATATGTGTGTGTATATATATTTAAATCATGTTTTATTTGTGCCACCATAATGCTTCCTTCAGAACATAAATACTTTACTCTGTATGAACTCTTAAATAAATGCTGTTTTTAGCAACTTAGTCTTATAATGATTTATTCAGTGTTTTATCTTATTAATCCATTAGTCAAGTATTTAAAAGGTCCCAAGGGAAGAAGCATCTTCATACATCCAAATTAATTTTGAAGTATTAAACAATCAATTGATTTTTTTTTTAATCTAGGAGTTTTATAGTCTCACTAAAGGCCTGCTGCAGGAAGATTCCTGCAAGACCAGAGTTTCCAGAGGGTTTCCCTCCTGCCACCACCACACTTCTGCCGCCTGCACTTTCCCTCCTGCTGCTTTCCCTCCCCCCACTTTCCCTTCCCTCCCACCGCCTCTGCTCTACTCCCTGCACTTTCCCTCCCGCCCTCACTGCTGCCCCATGATTTCTCTCCCACCACCCTGCACTTCCTCCCACCGCCGCATCTCCTCAACCCCCCTTGCTTTCCCTCCCACTGCCACCAAAGCCTCACTTTCCCTCCCTCTTCCTTCTATGCTGTCTTCAGTCTTCACTCCTCACTCCCTCTGTGTATGCAAATTAACTGCCATCTTTGTTCGGTTAATTTGCATATTTGCTCTGCTTGACTGGTGGGCATAATGGAGTGATGGTTAATTTGCATGTTTCTCTTTTATTAGTGTAGATATTTTACAATTAACTCCATGGTTAATTTTGTGTTAATAATTGTGTAAGATGTTAAATTTTGGATGAGGTTCTTTTTTGAAAAAATATTTTTATTGATTTCAGAGAGGAAGGGAGAGGGAGAAAGAGATAGAAACATCAATGATGAGAGAGAATCATTGATCAGCTGCCTTCTGTACACCCCCCACTGGGGATCAAGCCTGGATCCTGGTGTGTGACCCTGACTAGAATTGAAAACAGGACCCTTTAGTCCAGTGGTTGCCAAACTTTCGTACCTAGTGGACCACCAGTTGGCAATTGCTGCTTCAAAGGTTTCCTTAAACCAGTGGTCACCAACCTTTTGTAACTCATGGACCACTAGTCCACAGGCTGATGCTCTATCCACTTAGAAAAAACAGATAGGGCTCAATTGCATTTTTTAAGTTGTAACTAAACTACCAAAGGTGAATGCATTGTAAAACTAACTAGATGTGTTGTTTGAATTCAGAAGTGAATAGAGATAGTTTATATTACTAAAATGAAAGTGAATACTGTTGGTATAGACATAATGAGGAAGGTATTTGTGGAGGTATTAAAGCCAAAATATTTATAGAAATTGTCTCAAGAGCCATTTCATAGCAACTAAATTTAATTGTTTTAAGTAGAGAGGCTATCAAGTTTCTCCTATTAAAAGTAGGCATTGACCAAAACCAGTTTGGCTCAGTGGATAGAGCACCAGCCTGTAGACTGAAAGGTCCCAGGTTTGATTCCAGTCATGGGCATGTACCTTGTTTGTGGGCACATCCCCAGTGGGGGGTGTGCAGGAGGCAGCTGATCGATGTTTCTAACTATCTCTCTCCCTTCCTTTTTGTAAAAAATCAATTATATATATATATATATATATATATATATATATATATATATATTTAAGTAGGCATTGGAAAAGAGCTTAGAAAAATTATTTATGATAGCAAAATAATGGCTGAATAATGTATGAGACTTTCTCATAGAAAAAAAAAAGAGAGAGAGAAATTTGGCTCTATAGTTTGTAAAAGTGCCCTTCCTCAACCATTCTCCTCTTTCCCTTTCCTCCTTCCTCAACTCTCCCCAATTAGTTTACATCTTATAGTTAATCATGGCTAAATGTTATTTCCATTATGAGTAGACTTTCCATGTCTAGAATTAACAAGTCTTAGACTGGAAGCAACTTCTCAAATTTTTAACTCAGTCTTAGAAGAATAATCTGAGGTACAGAGATGAATCCAGGGAGACTGCAGAATCTGTGTTAGCCATGGCTTATCTTTGTATTTATAGTAGAAAAAAAATGCAAGAGATTTTGTCTTTACTTGTTTCTAAGTAAGTGTGGAGGAGTCCAATAGCTGAGACTATTTCTACTACTATTATTGAAAAGAAAAAGTAGTTAGGATTACCTTTGCAGCATTTATTAAAAACACTTGAGGTCCAGTGCATGACATTCATGCACTGGGGTGGGGGTGGGGGAGGAAATATCCCTCAGCCCAGCCTGCTCCCTCTCACAGACTGGGACCCATCAAGGGATGTCCACATCCACCTGCTGGCAGTTAAATACCCCACCCCCCCCCCCCAGAGGGGTCCTTAGCACTTGTGCGGAGGTGGAAGAGGCTGCTCGCCTGCTGTGAGCCTGGCTTCTGGCTTAGTAGCACTCCCCCTGTGGGAGCACACTGACCACCAGGGGGCAGCTCCTGTGCTGAGTGTCTGCCCCCTGGTGGTCAGTGTGCATCATAAGCAACAGGTCCTTCTGCAGTTTGGTCAATTTGCATATTAGCCTTTTATTATATAAGATAACTATTGAACATTCTCTTACACAAACAAATTGACCAGGGATTGTAAGGATGTTTTATTACTGAAACATTTACAAGAAAAAGTTGATTTCAAAGAGCTTACATGATTTCTCTCACCCACCAAAGAGAATGACATTCTATTTGATTCAGACCACAGCAAAATCATATTGGTGATTTCTGTCTTCTTCTTCAAAACGTTTCCTCCTGGGTCTATACTCTTTTAAACACATTAAAGACACCTGGAAATGGAAACTAAAAGTAGACAATACAAATACTATTTTGTCGCTATTACTTCACATGAATACACTTTGTGCATTCTAATTAAGGAGAACAGGCGCTCTTGCTATACATCCTCTACGTATCAAGCTATATAAAAATAAACAAATGGTATCAGAGCCACACTATGGTACAGAATACTGTATTATTATTTTTTATTTTTATTTTTGTGCTAAATGCGGAACCACTTTGGCCAAACGCAGAATCGCTTTGGCCAAACGCACCGTTTCATTTCCCAACAAAATCCATCAGTTTCCTGTTGCTTTCAGCTTGCTGTGCTAACTGCTCAGCCTTGGCCATTTTCAAGACTTCTCGGAGGATGTGGAAGGTGAGATCCAGTGAGGTGGTAGTTTCCCCGGATCGCCTCTCCCTTTCCGGGGCCTCCTGTGGACCGCGGAGGGCGCTCTCAGCACCACGCTCAGGGGGACCCGCAGGTCTCTCGAGCGGGCGCCGGGGAAGCGACCGCAGCTGCCTCAACGCGCGGAAAAAGTTGGTGGCTACCTCTTGAGGGGAAAGGTGGCTGCTGCTGCGGCCGGCGAGGGGCGAGGAGGCTGACCAGAGGGGAGCAGCGGGGCTCTTATTGAGGCTACCTTGGCGGAAGAAGTATTCTTCCCCCAGGATGAGCGGGACCTGCCGAACTGGAAGGACCTGCGTCGGCGGCGGCTGGAAGAAATCTAGGGGCTGGGGAAGTTGTGGGGCCTGTCGGGCGCCTGGGACGGGCCCCCTGATGAGGAGAGCCCTGCATGGCGGGCAGGGCAGGAGAGCCACGAGCAGGACGCCCGCGGTCACCAGCAGCGGCAGTCTCATGTTAGAGGCACTAGAAGAAGGAAAGAGAGAAAGAGTTGGTCACAGTTTAGCGCAACTGGGAGGTGCGCTGTGTGTGTGTGTGTGTGTGTGTGTGTGTGTGTGTGTGTGTGTGTGTGGCGGGGGGTGGGGGGTGGGGGGATCGTCTTCCCACCGGACTCGCAGACCTGGCTGGGCTCGGGCGGGCGCTGTCCGCAGTGCTGAAGCTCCCGAAGTAGGACTTACAGAGCTGGAGTGAAAAGGGGAGCAGGAAAAACGAACGCCTGCGGGGTTAGGCACCAAAGCTCAGCCCCTCGCCTCGCCAGGCTGGAATGGCCCCTCTCCTTCCGAAACCCCCAAAGGGACAGTCCCCGAATCCCCTTCCTAACGATCTCTAAAACTGATTTCCCGAGCTCTAGAAAGGATCTACAAATTGAAGACCTCAGCCGCTCTTAACTCCTACTCCCTTTCAGATGTTTCAGCCTTTCCCTCCAAATTAAAAGCTGCGCCTGGTCCTCCTCCTCATCATCCATCCCTGCTCCAGCGCCCTTCTTTCGGGGATCGGGATCCATGGGGTGCTCCTCCACACAGCCAGAAAGGAATAATTGGAAGTTCGGGTAAGGATAAGTAGCCGTCTAAGTTTGCTTTTGCCACATCCCAGCTACTATCGGGATCTTCAGGCAGTCAGCAAACACACACACACACACACACACACACACACCACTGGAAGGGCAAGGGCAGGGGCAGGGCTCTGCAGCGCGCACCGTGGCAGCTCAGGCAGTGCAAAGTTTCCGTCTAGGTTCCTACCTTCTGAGGCAGCTGCTGCAGATTAATGTCTCCCGGCTTCTTCAGGGGTTTTCTTTCTCTCTCCTTTGTTTCCCCTGTGGGTTTTTTCTCCCCTCTTCTCTTCCTCTTCAGTCTCTCAACGGACTTGGGCTCTGAGTTTCTCCACACCAGAGCCTGGAGTGGGATTTTATAGCGTCGACCCTCTTCTGAAATCACGCAGCATTTGCCTAATAAGCTGACGCTCTCTTGACAGCTCGATTGCGTGCTGCCTCTGCTCCTGCATAAATCATTGGGCCCTGCCAGGAAACCAGGGGCAGAATTTTTGCTATCTCAACACTGAATCTCACATCCAATTATATCAACAGATATTTATCGCCTCCTTGGTGACGTCAACCAGCCCTAAAATGGAAGAGCTTCTTATGACTTGTCCATTGACAAAAATTCTTGAATGAAATTTCTCAAGCGTGAAAACATATTGACCTTTTACTAGGAAAGGCCAATTTAAGGATCAGAAAAAGAGACATAGAATGGGAGGGGGAAGGAAGGGAGAGGTGGGGGAAAGAGAAGTCTATCAATGCACAGTCCTGCAGGGAAAGCAGCAACCACTTAACTTCTCTGACCAGTTGTCTTGTGCAATACCTCTATATCTGAAAATATTCCTTTGCTAAGAGACAAAGTATCCCATGGCCTTCCTGCCTGGATAAGAATGAAGAACAAGAAGATGAGAGTGTAGAGGCACTCAGCTTTTAAGCCTCTGTTTGCTTTTTCCTCCTAAGAACAGGTAATGGAATTATAAGTCTGTAGAGGCAAAACCAATAATACCAGTAAGTCTCTTAAAATGCAGGTCAAGCTTTTTAAATGATGGCAAGAGCTACTCCCATGATGAAGGGGAACAAACCGGGGCCAGTCTGGGGTGCAGCAAAGATTTTAAGTTTTTCCAGAAGCTTACTGTTCCTCCTTTGTCTCCTCTCTCAGTAATTGAGGCCTTTTTAAATTACCAAATTAGAGAAAGGACCAGTACGAGGTGCTTGAGTTAAACAATCTTTATTTAATTGCAAGCCCAATGAGAAAAGCATCAATTAACTTCCTATTCTATATTAAAAAAGGTTTAAACTGCTTGATAACAGGGCATGTTTGCACTGATGCCTACTGAGCCTGTTAAAAGGTAAATTCATTCATTTTACTTACAAATACTATGATAATATCCATATCAAGGGTACCCAGGTTATGTTTAATTAATCATTTCTTTTTCCAAATTCAAATGTGCTCCACAGGAGCCTGTTAAATAAATGTTCTCTGACACTACCACAGAATGGAATGACTATAAACCCACACTCACATTTGGAATTAAATTGATATCATTATCTAGGTGGGAGGCAGTTATCTCTAATAGTGCAATTCAAAAATGCAGTGTCAAATTCTGATATCTATGATTCAATTCACTTTCTAGATAACCATCAGAGTTGTTTATCAGAAATTTCCTCATTTCATTTCCGGTACCTCTGCTGCTTCCTTTGTAGCTAACATGACAAATGATGCAATGCACATTTCAACTCCCATTTTGGCTCTATGCCAATCTACAACTGCTATTAGAAATAAAAGGAAGGTAAAAAGAGAAATTCTGGCAGTTTCCAGAGAAATCAGCCCATAGTCGGATCATTGCACTAAGGAACATGATTATAGATAGATAGATAGATAGATAGATAGATAGATAGATAGATAGATAGAATATTGATTTCAGAGAGGCAGGGAGAGGAAGGGAGAGATAGAAACATCGATGGTGAGAAATAATCATTGATTGGCTACCTCTTGCATGCCCCTTACAAGCCTGCAACCTAGGCATATGCCTTAACCAAGAATCAAGGTTCTTGTGACCTCTTGGTTCCTGGCTGGACACTCAACTGCTGAGCCACACCTGGCTGGGCTGGAATGCAGTTTTGACATGAGAGAACAGAGAAGTAAATGTGTGTCCATGAAAGATGTGAATTGTTAATAAAAGATTAGGATTATGAATAATAATTGAGATTTTAGAGAAAAGCTGTGTTTTATGTTGGTAGGGAGCATATAAAACCACAATTTTTGCTTCAAGTTGAAATGAATCTCAAGTTTTTTGCTGACTGTCTTTCATTAACCCTTCTCTGTCTGCATTGGCAAATATCAGCTTGGATGTCAATCTAGAGGTGGAAGTAGATTAGGAAGGGGAAGTTCAGATAAATGCATGTAGAAGAAGAATGAGGAAAGGGATAAGACTAGGGCATTAAGCTAGGGAGGCCTGGGAGGTTTCTCCAGAGAAGACACATGCTTTGGACTTATTTTATTGGGCCAGATGGAGGATGTTGTTTTAGTATTGCTCCCTCATCAATGTTGAGTCCTTGCAGTGAGGTTTTCCTAAAGTAGGTATAGTTGGTTAGGGACAAAGTAGCTCTGACTAAAAGTGAGGAACAAAAGCCCATATCCAGAGGAACAGGGACTGTGTAGAGTAGTTCCTACCTACAATTTATCCAAAAGATAGATCTCATCAAATTACTGAATGTGCACTTTAGAAATAACTTGAAGAGATCATTTGGTTTAAGTGAGAACCAGAAAAGTTAAAATGACTTACCTGAAGTTACTCAACTAGTTACTGGTAGTTCTTTTGACTACCAGCCTTTTGTAGCAGAGACACATGAACAAACTAAAGTGAGAAAATGAATTTAGGTAAAGTGTCATATTCACACACCAATGCTAAGGCGTCTTTTCTTAGAATTTCCTTATAATAGTAAATATTATCACATGTAAATCTCCCTAGGCATGAAAACACACGTAAGTTTCTGTATGTATATACTGCAATTTACCTTTAAGCTGAATCTTGTAATTATATCAATAGGTTTCAAAAGACATTGCCAACTTAATACGTTTACTTTGATTTTCCACATAGTTCACCTTGGAAAATAGAAATCTTTTGATAAAGTATAGAGTTATGTGCTTCTCAAAATAATTATACAGATGTGTGGCTGGAGATATAACATGTTGTAGAGGACTTACATGCACAGTAAGCTAAAGACCCAAGTCCATAAAAATCGCCACTGACTGATTTTTATCTTACATGTAGAAATAATTTTTTAAAAGGAGTCTTTGGAGAATCAATTTAAATAAAACATAATATAGAGTATGGCCAAAACTTAAAAAGATATGGCACAGCAATCCCATGAATAAAGAAATATCAGAAATAATAGGTAACTCCTGGACTTATTCCTGTTGTCTGCATCTCCTTGGCCTTTTGAGGAATACCCCAAAGTGTGCTTCAACTAGCAAAGTTCATAGCAAAGGCAATCTTCAAGTTGCTAACTGAAACATTTGTGTGTGTGTGTGTGTGTGTGTGTTTGTTTTAAATATATATTTTTATTCATTTCAGAGAGGAAGAGACAGGCAAAGAGAGATAGAAACATCAATGATGAGAGAGAATCATTGATTGGTTGCCTCCTGCATGCTTCACACTGAGGATCAAGCCTGCAACCCGGGCATGTCCCCTAACTGGTAATTGAACTGTGACCTCCTGATTTATAGGTTGACCCTCAGCCCCTGAGCCATGCCGGCTAGCACATTTGTTGAAATGAATCTACATCTTCAATGACTGTCCAGGTTGGACCAGTGGCCTGGTAACTGCTTGTAACTGTGCTTTAGATAGATAGATTAGTAAACTACCTTCTACTTCCATAGGAAGATCTCAAATAGCACAGATATCTAACTGCTTCACAGGTAACAGTAACTTCTAATAATCTCTTCTGATTATCAAAGCTATTCATCCTCCTTGTAAGAAACTTGGAAAAATTACAAAAGTATAAAGAATACAAAATTACTCAGATTCCAGATTCTAAAGATAAGCTCAAATAATATTTTATTGTTTCCCTTGAGAAATTTTCCTGAGCTCATTGATTTTTATCGATAGTAATTGAGGTAATACTGCTCCTAATTGTGAATCTCTACTAAAATACAAACAAACAAACAAACAACAACAAAAAACAAAACACCACAAATAAAAAACTCCTCTCTCATTTAAAAGAAAACTAATTGTTTGAAGAAATCTTTCTCAGATTCCTAGATTAGGTTTAGGACCCGTGTTCTATGTTCTCCTAACATCATGAATCATAAAGATCCCCCCCCCCTTTTTTTTTAAGATCACACTTTTAAATAATCACTGGTTCAATGTGTATCTTCCTTGCTGAAATGTAAACTGTGTAACAGAGATTTGATTGTATTTATAAACTATCATATCAGCCCCTAGCAAATGTTAGGTACCCAATAAACCTTTTGAATAAACTATAAAACTTTGTTGGATGAATGAAGTATAAAACAACCATCCATAAGTCTACTATCCAGAAATAACTAGATATTTTATAACAAAAATTTTATAACTTTTTTACACTTAAAATTATATTTCAAACATTTCCTATGTCTAAATACATCTAAATGAGATGTATTACAATTTCTATTCATTCCTCATTGTTGACCACCATCCTAATAACCGGTTTTAAAATTTCCTTTGCTATCTTACTTTTGCACCTTTAAGTAATATTCCCACAGAATAATTTCCTGATCTTTCAAATATAAATAATATCTGTTAATTCCCCAGATTACAAAAATTGGGGAATTGTTATAATCTGGGAAATAACCTACCACCTTCTCCCTTGCATGTCCACTCCTTTAAGCAAGTCCTCAGGACAAGGAGGTTCTGATCAGCAACAAGTAATCTTAGGAACAAAGCCTCAGGTCTGTTGACCACAGAGACAGAATTTTGGTCAAATTAGAGATAACATCTAGGCCTCAGTTGTGTTTCAGTTCCAGACCCAGAAAAGCAGCAAAACCAGAGGAAATGATACCATGGCTGACATCAGGACCAGATTCAATGACTAATGACCCCCTACCCTAGCACTGACCAATCAATAGAGACCACAACCTTGATTTTATATGCTTATTTTTATGAACCATCATATTAAAGGGCATAGGGAAAGCTGATGAATATTCTTTTAAGACCCTCCCCTAAAATATCTGCCTTTACTTAGAGATCCTTAAGACAAAGGACCTAGTGCACACTTTCTCTCCAGAGTATCCCAAGTGCCTTCTTTCCTCAGGCCCCTATCTTTGCTTTTTCCTAAGCTGTAAGGGTCCCCATGAAATTTGCAACCAGGGGAGCAGTGGGCAGCAGCAGCTCACTCCAGGAAAGCCCCCTGAACCTGTCTCCAAGGGCCCTTCTTTTGCCTCTGTAACTTGTTTCCTGAGTCCATGCAGCCCAACTGGCTTACTTTTGTCTCCCCAACATTCTTTGTA